CGTCGTAGCTTACTCGAAGGCAAGCCCCTTCCCTTTTATCCCTTCCCCCCGAAGAGGGGGGAGGGGGGGGGGTCCCACCCGGATGCCCGGGGGAGGGGGGCACCCGGGCGGCTCTCTTCGGGGGAGGGGAACGCCGCGACGTTGAGGGGAAGCCAATCTGAGCAACGTCGGTGTTTACTCGAAGGGGGGGGGGGCCCGGAAAGGGGGTCCCAGGGGGAGTCCCGGGTTAGAATACCGCCCTCAAGGGGCTCATGGCCCGCCCTCTCCCTCCCATTTCCGTCGAGGGCCGAGGCCTCCAGGGTCGGCGGCACCGGCCGTGAGGCCTTAGCATCAGCTCATAGACAGGATTCAAGCATCACTTGGCACGATACCAGTGGACTCGATACTGATGATGCTACCACGAGTGCGGAACAAATGGGAGCGTGCTCTACGACAGCTACCAGAACTCTCATACTTCATCATCAGTAAGATTGCAGTACAGACTCAGCGAAACGCAGACGATGTTCACGACGTGTCGTACAAGCAAATATGAGGGCTTATCGTGAATGGGTTATCCCGACGGAAGTTAACAACATCGGCACGCTATTCTGCAAAGTCAAGGAACTTCCAGTTGTTATCAACGAGATCACATGCCATGCGACGCCGACAAGTGACATGATCACGTTCATGACGGCAAAGGCAAATTTCTGGCATGGCAAATGGACCAATCCACGGTTTTCTTTCCAAAGTCTCGAGTCAGTCTTCCAACAGGCATGTCAACTTACACATAGTCAACCACGGTCGCCGCTCACGCTTGACAAGTTGAATAGCACCCTCAGAATCCTCAACCCCAACAAGGCCATGGGTGTGGAGCGACTTGGAAAAAAGGAGGACACCATGTGGTTGCCACAAGCGGCCAAGGCAGACCTACTGGACCTCTACAACACCGTCGAAACCCAGCTGGCTTGGCCGTGGCAACTCATGCGCAATATCATCACTCTGCAACGCAAATCCTTGGAAGCAGACCGTTCCATAGGATTGGTTTCATGGCTTATCAGATTTGGGGGCACCATGAGGTCTGATGAACGGGCAGCATGGACATCGCAGAGAGCAGGCACCTGGGGCACAGCCATTAAAGGGAGTTCAGCGCTAAGAAACGTGCTGGGCCGAGTCTTCAAGGACGAAGCTGTGATCTGGCAGGGCTCAAAATTCCTTCGCCACGTAAGTACCTGCTGGGACGCCCAGGCGTTCTACGATTCACTGGACTGGGTACCCGTATGTTCCCAAGAATCATCCGCGAAGCAGGCTGCTTTTCCATATTTCTACATGTTGACCTCAGCTTAGTGGCAGGAGCGAATGCAGCAGTGGATCTTGGAAAGTGTGCCCTGCATTTCATCTGCGAGGCTGCATGCAACTATCCTTTACCATACACGTTATCTTCCTGGGTGGATGATTTGGTGCAACGCACTGAGGGGACGATTGCGACTACACTGCAGGACATGTCAGAAGCAGGCATTACTCTCTCTCTCTCTCTCTCTCGAGGATGCGCAGCAGACGGCCTTCCCATGTCACACAAGTCAACCATCATCTCCTCGTCCTCAGAGCTAGCGCAAGCATTGCGCGGCAGACTCAACGAGCACCACATACCTGTTCGCACGGAGCTTGCCACCGCAGACCTAGGAATCGACCGAGGACGTGTTGCCTGCAGGCGGCCCAAGCAGAAGTCCAGACACACTAAGATCGCAAAGCGAACGTTCAGAAGTATGAGGTTTGCTCGATCTTCAGCGAAGCACAAACAGATCGCGGGAAGTGATTCACGCTGGGAGCTATTACAATGGGTAACTATGGCGACAAGGTCTACGGCCCCCCACCCCATTTTAGAGATCCCTGGAGGACCTCTATCGGCAAGCTTGCACACTCTAGTGTTGGCCGATGTCTGACCACAGCTCTTGCCATCCCCTTTGGGGACAAGGACCCCTGGATCATCAGCACGTTCAACATTTTCCAGTCCTGGAACGACATTCCGGCGGGTACTACCTTACCTGAGCATGCGGTTCGCGCTGCGTGGGGCAAGGCGTTTCTGAGGATGAATGTGCCACCCAAACAAAGATGGAGGAAGGTCATTGCACCCATGACGGCGATGGTTGCCACCCCACTTGATTTGGACTGCAAACTATTGGGACCTACTGAATGGATCGCTCCAGGCGGCGACCACTTTCAGGGCGAAATCCAGGATTTCAGAGGGCAATCTCTTGACCTACATGATCTTCGCACCGCCTTAGCTAAATCTGTGCACATGAACCCATGGCAGGGCAAGGGTCTGGGGAAGATCCCTGATCTGAGCGACTCCAGGAGGCATCTCATTCGACTACGGCAACAACGCAAGCACCAAACGGCTGGAGTTATGGAGACAGTACTCACAGGCGGCACATGGACACTGGAACGCAGTCACGTTTGTGGTTACTCCAGCGAAATCGGTCTTTGCAGGCGTTATTGCAAGGCGGTTGAAACGGACAGGCATGTTTATTGGGAATGCGAATCTAACAGCAATGGTTCAACGATTTCTGAAGCACTACGCCTGAAATGAGCTGACCAAGGACACTGCCTTCCCCCCCTCTGGTACCGAGGGATCGTTCCGACTGACTGGTACCCGATCCAACCACCACCGGACGAACCTCTACGGGTCCAGCATGGAGTTCAAGAAGTTTCCTTTGCTATTCCTCACGCTCAACACATCATTGCAGGTGGTGACGCTAGTGGAGGTACCTACTCGTCCGACGAACGACTACGGCGTGTTGCGTGGGCCACGGCTTCCATAGCTGACTCGTTAAACGGAATAGCACCACTCCACGGCAAACCTATCACCCAACCATTGGATCGTGGCGGCCTCCCTGGTGACAGACGAACAATCAACAGGGGTGAATGCATGGCCTTCATCACGGCCCTCATCACAGCCACTGACTGCAAGCAGCTCACATGTGTTACAGACTCTGCATATGTTATTCGCGGTGTTGCCAAGTACCCTGCTGGAGCAAAACACTATTCTAAGATCAGGATCTTTGGTTTCAAGTCAAGAACTCGTGTGATCGGCAATTCCGCTCGCAGCGTCATCCTTTTCAAGATCGAGTCTCACATGACCCCCCAGGAGGCTTTGTCCAGAGGCCTCGACATGGTCTTCTTCTTAGCTAATGACGCTGCTGACAAAGCAACGGGAAACCTAGCTGAGCAAGCTGCTGCTGCAGATGCAGATGCCAGTACAATGGCGCTCATTGATGCGTTGGAAGGAGCTATCAGATCGCACCTGACCGACCAAAGTTGTCGTCGACGTGGTCAAAGACAAGACACCAAAGAAAAGAAGCCGATGCCCAAGAAAGTGGAACCCACCAAGCTTGATATCACAGATCACAGCTCTCTGTTTGGGAGGAATGGGAGGTTGCGATGCTTGGACTGTGGAAGGAGCGCTCCTCGACAAGCTGCAATGAGATTTCTCAATGAACCATGCAGACTTGGACGCACCAGTGGCAGATGTACGAAGCCTTTCAGGTCTACTACGACTGCAAGCACACTTGGCAAGGTTCACCCCACACACAGCTTTATTTCTGTGGAGGGCCCCAATCTTGACATTTGCTCGGTATGTGGGAGCTATGTCACCAAGCGCATGGTCAATCTTGCCAAGCCATGCATACCGAAAGGAGGCCGACCTATTACGAGAGAGATGCAGAATCTCAAGCGAGTGCATTTGGGTATTCATCCGACCATGTCTCTAGGTGATCTATCTACGAGAACAAGGCTTAGGACGACCCTGTGGGCGGGGCCAGGGTGAAACTAGGCGCAAGGGCCCCTTGCGCCTAGTTTCACAGACTCCGCCACGGCGCCAAAGAGTACGATGCGGAGTCCTACCAGCACTGACGCAGCACCCATGGCTGCGACTAAGGACCAGCACACGGGCACCGATGCAGCGGCGTCCTCTGCTACATGGTGCATTCCGAATAAATTATCTGACGCTACGCGTCTTGTGTGCGATTCGCCAGGAGACTCTGACTGAATTTATGTGCGTGTGACACAGTCCAAAGCGACACGTGGTGTTTGCTCACCTCACTAGCCATCAGCGTTGGTCGAGGAGCCTCGCACGAGAAGAAGAGTTACACGCAACTTCAAACAATACATCTGCATCCCCAGGGTGATCTAAAAAACGATATACAAATTAACAAAACAAATCAAAACAACAAGCCTTACGAAAGGTGACGTAACGACCTGACGCCGCGGCACACTGGAAACGAGGGCGCTAACACGGGCTGCTGACGCGCCAAGGTCGGCGAAGACGACTCCGTTGTTGGCGTCGCTTACGTGGCACGCTGCCTCCCCAGGCCCCCGACGTCATGATCATTTGATAACGTCGACCCCAGAGGTCTCGAACCATTCCTCAGGACCGGTGTTTCGTCCTGAGTCGTTTTTTGCCGGGCCCAGGGCCGGGTAATTGCAGTCAACCCGTATAGTAAGGATGCGCGATAAGGATGCAAGGGCCTTGGACGCCTATTTCGAAGCTTTCCGAGCGGGGCGCGGCCAACGAAAGTGGCGAAGGATGGACCGAGGAGGCAAGGATGCAAGGATAAACCTTGGGAAGGTTGCCCATCTTTACTACGCGGGCTGACTGCAAGGCCCCCCAAAGGCCGAAAATGCTGACAAAAACGTCCGTCGTGCTTTTCTCAAGACCTGAGGGGATCTGGGTATGCAGAGCCAGCCGCACGAGAATACCTGGGGGGCAGGATGGAGGCCTCCTGGATGGGGTCGGAGCAGATGGGGCCGGAGGATCGCGCCGCATCGCCGATGCATCGGCGACGCATCGGGGATACACCGGCCACGCATCGTCGACGTCGGCGGTGCATCGGCGACGTCGGCGTGGAGAAGCTCGGGCCCCACGTCGAGCCGCACCGGCGATGCATCGGCGATGCGGCGCGATCCTCCGACCCCATCTACCCAGACCCCATCCAGGAGGCCTAGACAGGAGGGAGGCGGGCGGCCTTTGCGGCGGCGGCCAGCATGGGCCCCTGCCCGGGAGGCCCTCGGCCGTCCGCCGCTGCCCGCGGGGAGGGGGGCGGGGGCCAAGGACATCCGCCGGCCGCGGGCGGCGGTCCGCTGACGGGCCGATGCTCCACCGCCACTGCCGCGGGCGGGGCGGGGAAGGAGGGAGGATAGGGGAGGTCCCTCCGCCTCCTCCGCCTCCTCCTCCTCCTCTTCCTCCTCCGCCTCCTCCTCCTCCTCCTCCTCCTCCTCCTCCTCCTCCTCCTCCTCCTCCCGATGCTGCTGCCTGCTGCAGCTGCTGCTGCCTGCTGCTGCTGCTGCTGCTGCTGCTGCTGCTGCTGCCTGCTGCTGCTGCTGCTGCTGCTGCTGCTGCTGCTGCTGCTGCTGCTGCTGCTGCTGCTGCTGCTGCTGCTGCTGCTGCTGCTGCTGCTGCTCCTGCTCCGGCCCCTCGCTCTCCTACCTCTGGTAGCGGTGCTGGAAGATCGGCCCATCATCCGCGGCTGCGCAGGGCGCGGCCCGCGCCCCGCCCCCCTCCCCCCCTGGCCCTCCTGAGCCAAAACGGCTGCACGCCTCGGGCAGGTCGACGCGGCCGGAGGGATGGGGGGCCAAAGAGGCCCCCGGGGCGGCCCGAGAGAGCCCCCCAGGCAGCCCCTGCGAGCCCAAAGGTGGCTCCAGGATCGCCCAGAGACAGCCCGAGAGCAAAAACACGTTGATTGCCCTCAGGTTGCTGTCGGCTTCTGGCATGGTCCCCCTCTCGGTCTTCGGAGCGCCCAAGACGGCCCAAGAGGCGCGAGCGCTCCAAGACGTCCAAGAAGAGCTGAGGGCGGCCTCAGGAGGACTCCAGGGCCAGAAGACACCCCGAGAGAGCCCCACGACGCCTCGAGAGGGTTCCGACGAGGCCTGAGACGGCCCGAGAGCCCAAAACAGCCCAAGTGGAGAAATCAAAAGGTGTACCGATACCGCTACTCCCCCGACCTATCCCGGGGTGCGTGCTGACCAGAATCTCAAAGCGAATCCAGCTAGGGCCTCCCAGGAGTCCCAAAAAAGCGAAAACGAGGGAAGCGTAGCGGTATGTATAGATACCTGTTCCTCCTCAGAGAGACGGCCCAAGAGCCCAAGACAGCAAGACATGGCCCCAAGAGAGCCCCGAGACAACCCCCAGACGGCCTGGAGACGCATGACATCTGCGAGCTCGCGCCGAAGGATGGGCCATCAGTGGCGCTCCCGCGCTCCGGGCTGCCTCGAACCCGCAACGAGCTCCGAGCGCAGCGAGCCCGAGTGGCAGGGACATGCGCGACGACCTGCGGCGCGGTACTGCACGGTCGCCACACGGCTCGTTGCGGAAAGCCTGGAGCGAAGAATGCGAACGTCTGACTTGCCCTCGCTCGGGCATTCCTTAACGGGCGAAGAACGGTATAAAATATGTGTTTTCGTTGTCGGGGGCGTCTGCCCCTGGGCGACAGGAAAGTTTATACCCCTACTGTGCCACCGTAAGGGTATAAACTTTCCAGCCGCCCTGGGACAGGTGTCCCCGACGGCGAAAAAGTTTATTTCATACCGTTCTTCGCCCGTTGAATTCCCCGTGCACGTGTCGGATGTAAATGCGCGCGTTGCTGCGCAAGGTGGTCCAAGATTCGCACAGTGGTCCAGATCTTCTGGGTAGAGGAACCAAAACATGCACGAACATCCGGGGCGCGCAAACATGGATTAGCGACCCATGGATTTGGCGCGCGGCCAGTACATGGATCGGGGGAGGGGCCCTCCCCAAAATGCGGCCGGCGCCGCCTCGTCTGGCGGCGGAACTCCGCGATTTACCATGGAAACGGCCCCCGTCGCTAATCCACGCCCCCTTTGATCCATATTTGCACTCGCCCGAGAACAAAAACCTTCGGCGCTCCGCTCGGACTTCTTGCCTCGGCGCCGGGCCTGCCCCCTGGGCGTCTGCGACGCCACCCCTAGCGCACTCCGCGCGCCCGGCAGGGGGGGCCCGGCGTCGACCCGAGAGATCCGCGCGGAGAGCTCCAGAAGTTTATGTCTGTGCACGTTTTCCCCCTTCAAGGCAAGGCTGACGTCCGATGCTGGCGTCCGCCGCCTTCCGCCGCCCCCAGAGCGTCCCAGGACGGCCCAGGGACAGCAGAGGGGATGGCCCCAAAGACAGCCCCAAGAGGGCCACAAAGGAGAGCTCCCACAGAGCCCCCAGAAACAGCCAGGAGAGGTCGTCGGGCGCTCTCTTCGGGGGCGAGGTTCCCACCGGAAACCTCCCAGACCCACCTCGGAGCGCCTCTCCTCCTCCTCCTCCTCCTCCTCCTCCTCCTCCTCCTCCTCCTCCCCTCCTCCTCCTCCTCCTCCCTCCTCCTCCTCCTCCTCCTCCTCCTCCCTCCCCCTCCTCCTCCTCCTCCCCCTCCTCCTCCTCTTCCTCCTCCTCCTCCTCCTCCTCCTCCTCCTCCTCCTCCTCCTCCTCCTCTCCAGGGCGTCCTGGCAAGACCCGACAGGCGCTGATGCTGAGGCAGGAGAAGGAGCGATGAGCAGCGCAGCCTTGCCCCCAGTCGGCTCTGGAATGCAGCAGACACGGACACTGAGCCTCGGGCCTCCGAAAGCTGATGAATGCGTCGTCGTGTCGTCTTCGACAGTCGCCGAATGCTTTCGGCCTGGATAAGGAACAAGAGAGAAATTGCTTCCTAAACTGTGTTTGTACGTGAGGGTCCTGATTTGTCTTCTGAGGAACTGGGCTCCGTTGTCGGATCCGCCGCCTTGTGGTCGCCATCGCCGCCCCGTCGCCGCCTCGTCGCCGCCTCGTCTGGGCTCCGTTGTCGGATCCGCCGCCTCATCGCCGCCTCCTCGCCGCCCGTCGTCTGGGCTCCATTGCCGGATCCGACGCCGTGGTCGCCGTCGCCGCCCCGTCGCCGCCAGGCCCCGTGGCACCCGTCGCCTCCCCCCCCGTTGCAATCGAATCGCTGCAATCCGATCGGTTGCAATCCAATCGAGTGCAATCGACTGGGAAAAAACCCGCTTGCGGCCCCGTGGGCGGCCCCGTTCCCGCGCGTCGACGCCGCACCGTTGCACCCCACCCGCTGCATTGCAGTCGCACTGCATTGCAATCGCATCGCATGGCACTGCTATCGCATTGCACTATAATCGCGTTGCATTGCACTGCACTGCATTGCATTGTATTGCAAGTGCATTGCAATTGCAATCGCATTGCGTTGTATTGCGTTGCATTGCTCTGCACTGCGTTGCAATGCTGTGCATTACGCTGCGTTGGCTTGCATTGCTTTACAGGGCTGTGCTTTGCGCTGTTTTGCATTGCGGTGAATTAATGTTCATCGATTTCCATTGCATTGCGCTGCATTGCGTTGAATTGTTCTGCATTGCGTTACATTGATCTGCATTGCGTTGCATTGAGTTGCAGTGCATTGCAGTGCGTTGCATTGCTGTGCATTGTGTTGCAGTGCGTTGCATCGTGTTGCATTGTGTTGCATTGCTTGGCATTGATTTGCAGTGCGCTGCATTGCGTTGTATTGCACTGCACTGCGTCGCATTTCATTGCATTGAAGTGCGTTGCATCACGTTGCATGTCGTTATGTTCGAAAGAGCGTGTCTACCGTTGCTGGCAGAAAACTGGAGGGGGTCACTGGGGTGTTCCAACCCGCCCCCCCCCCCCTCCCGAAAACCGGGGGGGGTCACTGAGGGTTCCAACCCCCCCCTTCCCCCCCCCTGGTCCATCATGAAAAGGGGGGGGGTCACTACAGCTTCGAACCCCTCCCCCCTCCTCCTGGAAAACCGGGGGGGGTCACTACCGGTTCGACCCCCCCCATCCCCCCTCGCCGCAACGACTCCCCCTCCTCTCCCACTCCGGATGGGGGACTGGTCGGGACAGTGGTTGGGACGGTTTGTTGGAATGGTGGTGGGGAGTGGGGACAATGGGAAAAGTGGGAAAGTGGTGGGGACAGAGGTGGGAACAGTGGGGGCAGTGCGATAGTGGTGCGGGCACTGGCGGGGACAGTGGGGACAGTGATGGGGACTGGGGAGAGTGGTATAGTGGTGGGGATAATGGGGACAGTTGGACAATGGTGGGGACAGTGGTGGTGGGGACAGCAGTGGAACAGTGGTGGGGACGGTGGTGGTGGGGACAGTGTTAAGGGCGGTGGTTAGGGCGGTGGTGGGACAGTGGTATAGTGGGGAGAGTGGTGGGGACAGTGGGGACAGTGGGTCACTGGTGGGGACAGTAGAGACAGTGGGGCAGCACATTGGAATAGCGGTGGGGACGGTGGGCACAGTGGGACAGTGGTGAGAATAGTGGGAAGAGTGGGACAGTGGTGGGGACAGTTGGGACAGTGGGGAGAGTGGGATCGTAGTGGAGATAGTCGTGGGGACAGTGGGGACAGTGCGACAGTGGTGGGGGCACTGGTCGGGAAAGTGAGGACAGTGGTGGGAACAATGGGGACAGTGGGACAGTGGTGGGGACAGTGGGGACAGCCATTTGGACTCGGCTTGACCGCAAAGGCCGCCTCCCCGCACATCTCTTCAGTCGCTGCCGATGGAGCCTCACTCAATGCAGATACCTGTAGCACACACTACGCCTGAAAATTGGGATTCCGAGCTGAGAAAGATCGCCTGTCCCCTGCAGGGCAGCGGACACAGCTTGTGCCAGCTGGAGACCAGACACTTCGGCGGAAAAAGAATCAGTTGCATTGGGTTCCCACGTCCCCCCGAAAGCCGCGACCTCCCAGTCGCCGCTCCCTTGGGAGACACGGAGAATGAACCCGCCCGCGCTCCGTCCGCACCCGCGCCACCCGCCGTCTGAGTGGGTTAAGAAATTGCGTGGCGCAGCTAACAATTAATCAATACAAGGGAAGAGGCATAAGAAACCCTGGCCAAAATCTAAAACTGCATTGCACAAGCGATCCGCCTCTTGATTATGATGGCGGGGCCGCCACAAGACCAGAGCTTCGATCGGATCCGGCGGTCTCCACCCTTCGGTCACGCACTGTAGCAAACAGTCCGCTAGAGGCGAAAGTTGGGTGAGACGCTCCCACTGGACGAACGACGATCCACTGAGGGCCTGCGCCAAGGCTTCGTTATCGACAACAAACCGGAAAAATTGAGTCGAGTTGGAAGAATCAGGCCAGGACGAATCAGAGGGAAGGAGAGGAGGAATGATATCAAAGTACAGGTGGCCCTCAGAAGTGAAGAACGTGTCATCCCCGAGGTCCCAGTCGCCAATGCCCGTCCCGCCCGTCGTAACGCACGCCCGCTGCTCCGCGTCGTCATGAAGAGGCCGTCGTCGTTTACCATGTCGCCCAGCCTCCTCCGTCCCCTCCTCCGTCTCCCCAGTGGTGGGACAGTGGTGGTACAGTGGTGGGACAGGGCAGGGACAGTGGTGAGGGGACACTGGGACAGTGGTAGGGACAGTGGGACAGTTGTGGGGACGGTGGTGGTGGGGACAGTGGTGAGAACGGTGGTGAGGACGGTGGTTGGACAGTGGGACATTTTACAGTGGGGAGAGTGGTGGGGACATTGGGGACAGTGGGACAGTGGCGGGAAC